ATCTGATTGCGAAAAAACGAATCAATCTAAATATCTGATCTCCATGCTATTTGATTCGTGTATTATCTACAAGCCAATCGGGCAAGGGTGAAATTATTTCATTTGAAAACAGAAATAAATATTATAACCCCTCTAGCATATCGTATCCTGATCAATGCCTTATCGCCTAATTGGTCTGATATTTAGAGGGGGCGCAAAAATGATTAGGGGGGGGGGGTAAACGCGGAAGTTGCCAACATATCCGTGGGGGTATCCAGGGGGGGGGGGTTGTGATGGGTGTGATCGCACCCCCCCCCCCTTAACAATATAAATAAAACCCTGAGAAAGAAGAAGGAGCTTTAAAATGCTGCTCAGGCCACAATCGTACCCTCCTGACTGAAAACAGAAAACTTTTTGGCGATCGCACCCCCTCCCCCCTGACTGAAAGCTGGCTACGCCCCTGATATCTGTTTTTGGTCATTAATAAAACTATATTTATATGGTGAGGATTTATGGGTTTTGATAACAATAGGCTTTATATATGTATAATTAATCCAAATTCATGTTGTATCATGTTGGCTATATCGTTCCAAGTGAAGAATTAAGAACTGAAATCGGGGTTGACTTAGTTTGAGCAGAGACATATAAAATATATATGTTTTAATAAATGAGTATTATAGGTTATAGGCAGGCCCGTAGCCAGGGGAGGGGTTCGTGGGGTTCGGGCGAACCCCCCTGGCCAAAGATTCTTTCAAAATCATGCAGTTTTTCACCATTTTGAGCATTTCTCGTGTGATTTTAGCCATATTTGGACCAAAATTGTCAAATGTGAACCCCCTAGACATTTTTGAAAACTGCCCCCCCCCCTTGGCAAATCCTGGCTACGGGCCTGGGTTATAGGCAGTATCATGGGAACCAAGGAAATGTGTATTATTTTCTGTTTACTTCGAAATTCAGTGAACCATCTGTAGATTGAAAAACAAGGATCAATAAATACAACTACTCAAAATCAAACATTAGAAATCTATTTTTGACTGGACACATTTTTGTTCCCGAATGCCAACTTTGATTTGAATGATTTCAATCAATTAGGTAGGTGTGAATATTTTCGAAACAAATGCGTGATATATACACATATTTTGTACCAAGTGTGTGACATAAAGGGCAATCGCGTGCAAAGACCGAACGGAATGCGTTCACTTTTATTTGCCGTGCGGTATTTTACCGTGTCGGCATTTCACAAAAAACGATTTAAAAAAATTTCAACAAAATCCGTGATTTGCGTGATATTTGATCATACACGCTAAATTGATGCGTGATTTCTATTTTTCCAGCAAATGCGTAACAATCACGCCTAATGCGTGAGGGTTGACAGGGCAGTTATTACATCAGAGACATATAAAACGTGACCTGATCGGGAGAGGATTCGGGTTGTACACAGTACACACATTGCTATCCCAGTCTTTATGCATGTTTAATTGCCAAATTACTATAAAAACAAGCTGGAGTAACATTAAGTATTTATTTAGTATTTTGTTATCACACATCAAAAGGCGCATTTGAAGTTCAGAAAATGCAAGAAGACTTGGATAGACATTATGTATTTATATATTTATATGTTATGAATTTATTTTGTATTCAATTCGAATTCTGTTGAGCTGGACTCCTTGAACACCCCCCCCCCTTGGCTACGGGTATAAGTACATGTACCTTCGGCACAGGAGAGAATAATATTAGACTTCTGCAATGCAACTAATTAGAGAGACCTAAAATGAAAATAATGTAACAGTGTCTACTTCGGGTAACTGTTCCTGTAGAAAATATACAATTGTAGTCCATCACAGAGTTCATTTATTTCACGAAAGCATCAAAGGACATTGCCTCTAAACACTAAGATAAACAAATTAACTTCCGCAGAAACATCCTGTAGAGGAAAAAACAAATGGCTTTTCATAACGGATTAGAATAGCCAGTCTGTCTGATTGTATACATGTAATATATTAGATGCATTTTAAATTAAATGAATTTTGACGGATTATGTGATTCCTGGGAAATGAAAAATAGTTTATTTTTCCTGGCTGTTTAATGAAAGCACATTTAAAAATCTCCATTCATTAACATCTAACGGGCTTTGAAAACCAGGGATTGAAAACGAGGAATCAATGGTAATTAATATGATCTTAGAATTTGTACACGTGTATGAGAGGTGCGAAAGGCAGGCTGACCGTGCAGTCGCCGTATGGTTGACATGCGGACAATGTAAGAATGCGAAGGGTAACTGTGTTCCCCTGGTCTGGCTGTATGACTGCTACAAATGGATATGCATGGATTTATTGCACTCGACAGAGTTATGTTTATGTCTTTTGAACGGTGGCTCTACCTCGATGCATCTGTTAATAAATGATACTAAAAGCTTTATTGGATGTGAATTCACCCTTTCAAATTCAAATTCCAAATAAATAAAGCACACAATTTAAGTGTGACAAAAAAGAGCAAAACTGAAAACCCGTTCACCTATAGTGCCCGACATTACGTTAATAAACAATTTCCACATGTTGAAATATATTGCTATTTGATTGAGTTGAAGACAAAACATTTTGGAATTGTTTCACATAATGTAATATTCCTCGGATTTGATGCATACACATGTTTCACAATCAGAGACAAGGGTCTTATACGGGGTCTTACATTTGGAAAACCAATCTATAAGTAGTATTAGATTATCACAAAAGATAAATAACTTTTAAAACTGCGGTTAGGTAGCATCTTGATTACAGTAAAGACAGGTCATCTAGGAATTATTTCTGCCTCTAATTCCTTAAACCGCTTCGTTGAACAGTGCCAAAATATTTCAGTCAGATCCTAAAACAAAACTATTTTTATTTTTAATCCCCTCACCTTGTCAATGTCTATGCCTGCATCTGGTTTTGCCCACCATTGGGAGGGAGCCGATATACACATAGATTACTTACTTGCCATGGACAGGGGGGGAGCACAGAAACGAACAATCTGGGGTCATAAAAGATAATTGGGGAAGGGGGAGGGGAGGTGGTGAATAGTGAAGTCCGGGAGCGAAGTTAAGGGGTACTGAAATCTTTCTTTTGATATTTAGTGCTTGAATGGAGACTCGTTTCCACTCCCCGCACTCTAGTAAAATTTAAATATTTGATCCAAAGGAGTTATTTTGTATGTATCAAACTTGCATTCCGATTAATTAACACTCCCACGATTGTACCGCTTCACTATTGTCTAAGATAATTATAATGAATTCACGGGACACTATAGTCTTCCTTTTAAACTTTAGTGGTTGGATCAGAGACATAAAAACAATTATAAATATTTGATTTAGGGAGGTATTTGTAATCCAACTCTGATGATACAAGACTAGTCAGCCAAGACTAAATCCCGGGGACTAAATTATGAACTTATTTATCATTTAGACTATTGAGTTCATTAAATTATTATTCCATAGATATCGCATTTAATCCTGTCAACACAATCGTGGTATTAATTGGCATGATATTTAATCAGAGAGACGGTTTAAAAAGTTGTTGATTAATGATTAAGTATTAAGTATTAATGATTAAGTATTAGGAAAAATCCTAATTCAAAGTTTTTGTTCTCTCGCAATAGCAAACCCCTCGCCGGGCAAGCATTCTTTAAAAACATGAAGTTAAGCAGTTTTGAAAATTGTCCATTTTGAACCATCGCCTTGTATATTTTTATAACTGCCCTTAAATCACGATAACCGTGATTCCCGAAAGCTGAGATAACTATGGCACACAAATACTAGATAGTAGCCGTTATGGAAAATAAAAACACCGAATTTTGAAATGGGTTAAAATGTCGCAGTCTTACGTTGTCTCCGTTAACAATGTAGCTTTAATATTAAGACATATTGATTTCAATTAATAAAGTGCCCACATTTTTCTTTCATGGAGCGCATTGAAGCAATCAAATATTATAATAAAACCGCTAATAATCTAAATGAGCGCCCGTGTTTTTGCAAGCACGTTATAAATGCTAAAACTAAAATATATCTTTCAACTGCTGCACTAATCACTTCTGGTGACTTATTTTGAAAAATCATTTATATTAATTCATTACAACTTTCAAATGTCAAAACTTAATTTATCAATACCCGCTTTTATTAAAACAATCAATATGTCTATGTCAACAAGATAGTGTCAACACGTTGTGTCAACAACATGTAACCTAATGTAAACAAATTATACGCAAGAGCAGAGAAATGTATCATCCAGTATAATATGTTTTTCCCAGTTGAACCAGATGGAATATAACAGCTGATAACAGCTGATAACAAATTAAAACAAATTATACAAGTATCAGAGGAGAAACTCCAAAAAAGTCCGTATAATTCATTGTTATAATTATGTCTTATACATAAACCTATGATAACAGGTTAAAACGAATTAAAACAACTGATATGTATGTTTAATAGGTTTATGATTCTGTATTAATCATGGGATTTTACATAGTGGTGCTGCTGCTACTGCGGTCCTGACGTGCTGATGACGAATTACGAAATTTGTGATTGTTACGATTGCTGCGGGAGACTGTATCTACAGATGCGGCTGGGGCTTTAATGTCAGCGCGATGTTGGTTGGAATATTCAAATGCTTGACAAACTTTGATGCAATCTTCAAGCTTGAAATCTTCACCTTGCTTTATTTGTTGAGATTTCTCTAAAAGTCGAAGCTGGAGTTTCTCATTACGAATGCCACATATTACCATATCTTTAGTTAGAGAGTCAGTTAGGGGACCAAATTCGCAATCTTTTGCCTTGAGTTTTAGATCCGTAGTAAACATATCAACTGATTCAGATTCTGACTGTCTCCTTGTAAGAAATTTGTGTCTCAGGATTGTTAGGTTTTTCCTTGGTTCGAAATAGTCCTTGAATTTTCCCAAAACTTTGGTGTAATCAGTCTTATCATCATCATTATCGAACGTGAAACTGTTGTAGATCGGTATGCATTCCTCGCCAATACAGGACATAAGGGTGATGAATTTAACGTTTGAAGATTTTTGGTCTCTTTCCGTTGCACTCAAGAAGAAACCAAAACACTGTTCGAAGTGCTTATAGTTCTCGGCCAGGTTACCCTTGAGGGACATGGGCTTAGGTCTCTGTATTATAATGTCCAAAATCACGGAGTTACGAAGATATCTCACATATAAGACACCATGTTACAAATTATTGAACAGACTCATAGATTCCGGAAGTAGCACATGGGGTTGGATCTATATTTCAAACTATGTGGTTTACAAGTGTGAAACGGAAACATTAATATTGTTACAAGTGGGAATTCAAAACAAGTTTAGTTAGAGAAGGCATGACCCAATTTAACCGGATATGGCCAACAGCGCATGCTCAACATCTGGTTTAGATTAACAGTCAGAACCCCTAAAGATGCCAAAAACAAGCTATTTAAACAGCCGTGAGAAAGATGCTCTGATCGTCAAATTTCCGCACATGATTTACTTTGTATTCCCAGAATATATTTCCCCGATTGACTAAATTTCAAGAAGCTTCACACAGACAAACTTTGTAAAGTTCTCCACCGAATGGTGAATGCTATGGTATATGGGATGCTATATGACTAAAGGATTCTCAAACTGGTCAAGGTAGCTTCTAAATAAACTTACCGCCAATTCAAAAGCAGCTATTCTGTGTCTATACCGCGTTGCAGCCTCGTTTTGAACAGCTATGTGTGACTGTGCCGCGTTACCTATCTCCACCTTGCTGTTACAAAGCATTCTAGTTGTTACGAATGGTTGATAATAGGGAGTTTACGTTTGCAATATTTTTTACAACTTAACTGTGAACGGAAAATGTTTAAGCGATGCATTTGTTTGGGCGATTAGCCATACGTACAGGTTGGCGTTTCAATTTTATATGCAAGCTTAATCTCCCTTATATCTGTAGTGTGGTAACAAAGATGGCAGTAGTATTTAATAGGTGTACTTTGTATTTCATGTTTAATTTCATGTGCATAATCTTGGTAAGTCTTTTAACTTTCTAATTCCCTTAACGATTCTCAAGCAAACCGGTTAATAATGTGGATGAAATTACCTAGAAAAATTGGAGCATTGTTCGAGACTCAATTAGAAAGTTAAAAGAAATCCACCTGTTTCAAACATGACAAGGTACAGCTAAAGTGTACACTCGTATATAACGTAATTGTACATTAGGGAGTTTAAGATTAGCGTAAATAACCCATTTACCTATACCTATTCGTAGTTTGTTATTACACTAAGCGGCATTTTACCTAAGTTACAGTAGCTACACAACACTCATTCTGAAGTATATAACAGTTCTTGGAAGTGACATGTACTATATCTAGTATATGCCATATAAGCCATCGCATGGTTTTCATTCTATAATTAGGATGTTAATTTTATCATAAATTGTAGCATAATACGGTTTCGTAGCCTTTTACGTTAATCTTAAACTCATTTTGCAATACGCATTACCTATACGTATCCGTAACAAACATACGGATAGGGATAGGTACACGTATATTTTTACGCTAATCTTAACCTCCCTATTGTCGATGATTAGGCGTGAAAAAACTAACAAAACTAAACGTAGATGTTTCGATATCAAAACGATGCATTTACGGTTATCACGGAGGCTTTACGGTTTACGGTTATCACGCGCGGAACAAATGACTGCCCAGCCCATGGTGAGTTTGATTCCACATGTCCTTCAATACATATGTTAAATAAAGAAACCAGTAGGGAGTTAAGCATTGCTAGATCTCTGACATATACTAAACCTAGTATTGAACAGTTATATGGGTAATAGTATAAATTGTTGCCAATATTTGTGTCTAAAGGAAAAACTCTCCAAATATGTAAGAGAAAGGATGCCTTTCATAACAAATATTACATTGCAATTTGCCTTGTCTCAAACAATATCCGTCCTGTACACATATTAGTATTTAATCATAATACGAAGTGAGGTTGATGGAGGAAGTGTTTTTGTTCACTTAAGTTTTGTGCTGACTTCTAAATGAACTTTTAGTTAGTGCACTTAATGCTCAAGCCTGTCTTATCAGCTTGTGAGTTACGTCACTGCTAGGATTTCTCTCATATGGCATACTCAAGCTGGTCTTATTTTTCTGGCAACCTGAACGCAGGCCCGTAGCCAGCCAGGATTTGCCAAGGGGGATTCAGTTTTCAAAAATTTCCAGGGGGGTTCACATTTGACAAGTTTGGCCCAAATATGCCTAAAATCACTCGAGAAGTGCTCAAAATGGTGAAAAACTGCATGATTTTGAAATAACTTTTGGCCAGGGGGAGGGGGTTTGCCAGAACCCTGCGACCCTCCTGGCTACGGGCCTGTGAACGGTACCAGCAATGATAAGAAGGTTTAGTTAAACTAGCGCTTTAGTGATGGTCAGCTAAGAAGGATTACTTTACATTCTGCAGCAGGTAGTAAGTCTCTGGCTTTTTCTGAGCGTATTCAGAAATAGAGAATATCGGCAGTGTATTATGTTTGTAATTGTACGGTACAACGCTCGGTGAATGGTGGTAGCGGTACGGAACAATACAAGGAAATTAGTGGCTTAATTTTGATGGATATACATACATGCCATATTGACTTGAAACTCATACAGATGGACAACACATTTAAATGTTGTACACAGTTGTACCTTACCCCGCGCGTTAAACTTACGCATAATTTGGTACAGCCCCTATGGTAACCATCAATGTATCGTTTCGATATCGACACATCTACGTTTCGTTTTGTCAGTTAAGGTGGCTGTAGCTACCTTTCACATTTATATATTCTAGCTTCAAGTCTATAGTACAGGTGAATCACTCTCTCACATGGCCAAAATGCATGGTCTGTGGTTGAAATCTCATGTCTCTTTTTGATTCTCATCTTATTAATTTAATGCAATAAACACTGTGCCAAAAAGGCTATATAGTAATAGAATCTCCTGTTAACTATGCTCTAATATCAACTGTCATAGTGTGAAATATCTCCCGTATCTCCTGTGTTGTAGAGACACAACCTATACCAAGAGATTTGGCGGACAACCAAGTATAGTTAGTACTATTTTCAACTCTACGAAATATGAGCTAATATAGGCTGCGTTATATTTCTAGGCTAACAAATAGTTTGTCTACCACTCTATTGGACCTATAGAACCAGACATACCCGCCGATTCTATGGAAAACAGCTTCTTCTGACCTATTTCAGGATATACTATTAAATCAGAGCTCTAAAAACAGGAGATACGCTAACTATACGAAATGACGTCATCGTTTCTTATTTCTTTAACTTATCTGGCTTATTAATGATTGACAATGCACTGTCAGCGCTAAGTAGTTAAACAAACAAAATAAAACTGATAGATTCACTTTATACACATTATTTCAATCCAATCCAAATTTTAACACAATGTTAATCATAGAATGAGGGACAATATACAATTAAATAAATATGAAAAACTTAATTTGCAAATTATTATTTTTGTGGAAATTAGAACAATCGGCTCTAGATATTAATCCATTAACTCTAACAAACGGATTAATTATCAGTGAACAAAACTCATTTCATAGAAATTGAAAATAACTTAGGGATTAAAGTATTACTTATATTGCTCTGGCATCAATACATGTATGTGAATGGTGAAAATCTACATGATTTTGAAAGAATTGTTGGCCAAGGGGAGGGAATCGCTACTTGTTGCTGTAGGTACAGGCCTGTTTAAAATGCGTAATGTATTTAGCTAAAATTTGAGCAGTTCTGTGTCAAGACTATTTTTGTGGTTTGCAAAGTGAATACAGATGGTTGTTTGTGCCTGTGTAAGAGGGGGCCTTAAATGTTTAAGTTGTAAACTTAATGTGGCAGAGAAACAAAGTAGTAAAAATGTCAGGAATTACCCATTGATTAAAAATTAGCTTTCCGTTGAGTCAATCAATTAAATCCAAATTTTAACACAATGTTAATCATAACATTAGGGACATTATGTAATCAAATAATTATGAAAAACTTAGTTTTCAAATTATTTTTGTTGAACTTAGAACTTTTTGGCTGTAGGAAATTAATCCATTACCACTAACAAATGGATTAGCTATCAGTGTTGACGAAACTCATATTAAAGAAATTGAATAATTGGGGATTAAGTTTTACTTATCATATTGCTCTGACATACTGTATGTCAATATGTTATTTACATCAGTTTGTTCTACATGTACCATGCTCTAATTTGCTCAAAGTGTAATCATCGCTTTGTCAGATGAAACATAAGGAATTAATGTACAATGTACCCGCTTCTTTATTTTCATTATCAAACAACTAAACATACCGAATCTCGCACCTTTTGAATATATATATTTGGAAATGGAAAACAAAGAAAGGTTAATAAAACTAGCTGTAATAAAAAGAAATGGTCTAATTGTAGTAGAAACAAATGTATTACATCATAGACTAATCTGTTGTTTATATCCCTGGTTTATATCTCAGATATGACATTGATAACAGAAAAAATAAATTGTGAAATGTGAGAGAATTCAAGTTTTAATTTTGTTTTAGCATGGCTTAACACCACTTGTATCATGCAAACTTTATGCATGTTTCCTAATTTATTATCAGAGATTTGTCAGAAGAAATCGGAGCAATACATCCGATATATTACAGGCTCGTAATAAGTTTTAGCCCAGGGGATCAATTTTCAAAACATACCAACGGGTCACAATTGATAATTTTGGCCCAAAATCACCTAACAATGCTCAGATTGGTAAAACTATGTAGGATTTTGACAGAGAAACAATTGAGTTAAATTGTGAGGAAACCCAATGAAGTAAAAATGTGAGGAACCCCATTGTTTAAAATTAACTTTCCTTTGAGTCAATCAATTAAATCCAAATTTTAACACAATGTAAATCATAACATAAGGGACATTATACAATCAAATAATTATGAAAAACTTAATTTGCAAATTATTTTTCGGTTGAAATTAGAACCATCGGCTGTAGAAATTAATCCATTAACACTAACAAACAGATTATCTATCAGTGTGAACAAAACTCAAATCATAGAAATTGAATAATTAGGGATTAAAGTTTGACTTATTATATTGCTCTGGAATGTCAATACATGTATGTGAATGGTGAAAAACTACATGGTTTTGAAAGAATTGTTGGCCACGGGGAGGGGGGTCCTTAGGTACGGGTCTGTATAAAATGCATAATGTGTTTATTGAATATTGAGCAGTTCTGTGTCATGACTGTTGTTTTGGTTGGCAAAGTGAATGGTTGTTTGTACCTGTGTTAGAGGGGGATTTAAATGTTGCTTGCTATAAACTTAATGTGACAGAGAAACAATGGAATAAAAATGTGAGGAAAACCAATTATTCAAAAATTCAAAAATTAACTTTACAATGATTTAATTGATTGGATCAAAAATTTAACACAATGTTAATCATAACATGAGGTACATTATACAATCAAATATATATGAAAAACTTATTTTGCTAATAATTTTTGTGGAAAAAAGAGCCATCAGCTGTAGAGATTAATCTATTCACCCTAACATACGGATTAATTATTGAATGATAAATTATTATTAACGGTACAGTATGTACCGAAGAATGCTGTACATTACTTAAAACCTAAGTGCTAAAATTACAGTTCTTTATTTTATTAACATTAAACTTTATTGATAAACAAGAGATTTAGAATATGGTTCAGATTCTCCCTATTTGTTTATTTAATGACTTAACTACCGGAGTAATTGATAATAAGCCAGATAAGCGATGTTACCTAATTAGCGTTGCAAATAATAAGACTCGATGACGTCATTTCGTATAGTTACCGTATCTCCTGTTTTGGGAAGTCTGATATGAGAGTATCTCCTGATATAAGCTGATATCTGCTGTTTTTAGCACAGAATAGGCAGCGTATCTCTTGTTCGTCATGTCCGATATTGTATGAATAGTAAAGTATAGTCAGTGTTTTAAGAGTATAGATAGAAGATGTATGATATAGTTAGCAAATCTCCTGATTACCACGGGTATAATATGGGAACTATTCTGTGGCATACCATCAAATAGTTAAGTAGAACTGGTTTGATACGCAAATTTGTCCGTATCAGAGATATCATATCTAACTATATTTTGGGGGATTCTAGAGATATATACAAACTATTTGTCCAAATCTCTTGAAATAAAACTAGAGATACCGCACATTTTGCACAGTGAAAGTGGACTTATTTGTATGCAATGTACTATTAAAATAATAAGCTTACTATTTATAGAGTATTGCTCATTACAAATAGTAGGTAATATCGGAGTTTCTTGCTGAATATGTACCTTATTATCTATTAATAAATTACTAATAGATATATATCAAAAAGGAAATGGGCCCCCTTTGAATGTTGTTGGCGTTATTTGTCGCCCTTCTAAATGCACGGGCTTTAGCGCTCACAAGAATAGTTCAATAATTCCTTCCACTCACAAGATGTACTTCATCATTCGTTTCTCTTACAAGAATTATTCAATAATTCCCTTCCGGCTCACAAGGATTATTCAATCATCCATACCTCATGTAAATTATTCAATCATTTCTACCTTCACATGGATTATTCAATCATTCCTTCTACTTGCGTGAATTATTCAATTATTTTTTCCTCTTTCGTAAGTCATTCAATCATTCCTACCTTTGAAGTGGATTCATTCATGCCTTCCTGGCTCTCACAAGAATCGTTCAATCATTTCTCTCACTTGGATAATTCAAAAATGAGTGGAAAAAATAGAAAAAACGGGATCTTTCAGTTTTTGAGATATTCACCCATCTTCTAAATCCCTTACTCGCCTATATCCTAACATGTGGGACCAAAAAGGTTTTCTAGGTTCAAATGAAAATCAAAGTCGGTGACACCCATTTTTTATGCCTGATTATGACGCAAAATTATGTAAGGAAGATTTTAATACAAAAATATACACTTTCACGTAAAGTAATATCAAGGTCCATGTAGCTACAGCCACCTTAAGGCAGTTTATATATCACTGCACAAATCACGGGATGCTAGATGGGTACACGTTAGGGGCGATCCATATATTCTGATAAAAATCAACTTCAGAATTTTTAAAAATCTCACAGATTTTCTGAGTTGGCAATGTGTAGTTTGTAAATATACAGACACATACGTACACATGCATAAGGGTGATAAAGATGAGCAAATGATCGATGTAACACAAGAAACCTTATTTCAGTTCATTTGTGTACTGAGTTGGTAATGCGTAATGCGTATTGTATATGTATTATTTCACTATGTACATACTTACACATGCACAAGGTCGATAAAGATGAACGAATGATGAATATAACACAAGAAACTTTATTTTTCTATTTGTGCACGGAGTCGGTAATGCGTAATGCGTAGTGTATATATATTATTTCACTACGTACATACTTACACATGCACAAGGCTGATAAAGATGAACGAATGATGAATGTAACACAAGAAACATAATTTCAGTACGTATTATAGCTATATTCCCGGGCTTCAGACAAAACCCATAACCTTATGTGAAAGGAACTGTTTTCAAAATAAATGATACTTGTACACATTATGCACAGATGTTTTTGCTCATTAGGGAGTTTAAGCTTGCATATAACATCGACACGCCAGCCTATACGTATTACCAATCGCCGATACGAATCCATCGTTTAAATATTTCCGTTCGCGTTTGGATTGTGAAAACATTGCACGCTTAAACGTCCTATACTGGGGCCTCAGGTCCTATATATATATGTGAAAATAATGTTATCGTCATGAAAAAATGAGAGCATTTTATCAGAATATATGGATCGCCCCTTGATGTCGGTGTTTTTCGATGTTTATGTGATATGTGTACGGCTTAGGCCTATACATACGGTATAAAGGTTAAAAGTACAGATAATACAGTAATACAATGCGATGGAGGAGTTGATGTCTAGACAGGGTGATTTGACATGGCCAATGATATGTGGAAATACTTCAGAGAGAGATGCATTTTGGGTAAGTCGATCCACTGCGCGAAATGAATGGAATGCATTGGTTCACAATGTATACGGTTATGGTATCACAGTGGGGGAACTCTATAAACAGGTTACTGAAACGACGTAACAAAATGGCGCAGCCGTTGCCTTTAGAATTCGACTACTTTTCATTTTCCCGTGTATATATATGGTATATAGAGGGTAAATAGGCTGACTCTTTATTTCATTTTGGCACAAACGTATGTCAGAAACTGATGGTTTAGACAATCTGAGCTTTGGCAAATGCATTGCTAGGCGAATACATCACCAGAATAATCAATATGGCTTTACGTTTCTGTAAGGACCCAGGGATATCAAAGTTCCACGTTGTACTGTTGCACATTCACCCTCGAAACTTATTATGATGGATTTATTTCGGGATTTTGGACTGCCACTCGACTTTTAAAATTAAAATATAAAGTTCTCTAATAATATTCATACCACCAACTTAATAAGTGAACGTGTATAAATATACGAGAGATTTTGCTCATACGTGAAAGCACATCATACGATGTAAGTATTTATTAATAATAAGTGAATTGAAATTTGGCATTTTGAAAAATGATGTACTTATATATGTATAATAATGCATATTTCATCGATGTTTTTCACCTCTAATGAATTATTGTCGCCACCAAATTCCTTGCATATAAGGTGAACTGGATTGATTTCATGCCAAATGTCTCTGATTCTCAGCCAATAACTTTATTTAATTGAGTTAACTCTTCACTCACTTAAACGTGTGTTATGTACGATGGTCCAGTACGATTGGATAGAGTACATGTATCGGTACTGTCAGATTTTATTCTAGCCATTGCCAAAGACTTAAATTGCTAAGCGATTTCGATCTTTTAACAATTAAACAAAATAAAATTGTCGGTCATATATTGCGCCATGAATCCTAGAATCTCGGTTTTTATTTCTTTATAGTAACTTTCTTTTTTACAGCATACCAAGTTATTCTTTTAACAGTGCCAAATTTCTTTTTTATAGCATAAATATTTTTCTTTTAACAGTGCCAAATTTCTTTTTACAGCATTTCTTTTTTACAGCATTACCTATTTTTTCTTTGAACAGTGCCAACTTTCTGTTTACAGCATACCAAGTTATTCTTTTGACAGTGCCAATTTTCTTTTATACGTCCTACTAAGTTTTTCATTAATCATTCATATAAAACGGGAGAATGAACTTTATTTGTATTTGTGTCACTCACTATGATCAATTATGTGACTTAACTTGTCTACTCAGTTTACATGAGGGTGGGAGGGTGGTCTTATGTGAAAATGTATTGCTCCATGTATGTATATGCCTTTGTGGACTGGCATGTCTAAAAAACTGTTAATCGGAATCATTAGAATGGTTAGAATGAAATTCTGACGCATTTTTATAGCTTAGCGGGGCCTGCATCTACACTTAATGACCTCTATCTCAGCCTGGGTTCAAACTCTTTAATTAATATTATCCAAAGTAGACTTTGTATAAAAAACACGTACACACGTACACACGTACGTGGGTCGTGATACACTCTTTGAAGGGTTCAATGTTTAAAGTTCTAAAATATTATTCAATATTCAATAATGTCAACGATAGATATATATAGAGTCATAAAACATAGCCAGAATTGTTAATTTGAGTTTTTATTTCATTCAAAATAGCGCCATTCAAAGGACTCTATCATGCTCCAAGTACGTCGGTACGTAGGTACGAGGTACGAGGTTTTCTATACAAAGCCTCAAAAGTATAATTTGGCATTGAATTCGTTATAAGGTATTTTTCATTTTTAAAATTGATTTTCATGAATCTAATTAGTGTCTCCTTGGCATTGAAAAGCATAATATATATTCTTGCAATTAATCTCTTAAAATTCATATGGAGTTCTGATTCTGAAAGCTCACACTCTCAGCTTTCCAACGGTGTTTTGAAACCTTTGTTCAAATGATGTCATTTATTTGACCCTTGTTTGCACTACAAGTAGCAGTGAAAGATAACGCAATTACAGGTAATTTATTTGTATCATTCAAGATAATGTGTTTATCTCTATGAGTGAAGTTCTTGCATTCAAACCGCACGTTATCTAAATTGCCACTATTCCTACGAGCACATGCATGTTTAAGTGCATATTGTGACTATTGACTTCCACAATCAATCTCCAACAAGTTACATGGATTATATAAAATTCATAGATAAGGGTAATTAATACATACATTTTCCATTATATTGTGGTGAATGCGTGTTCAATTTTACTTCAGTATATTATCCACAGCCCAAAGGGCAATGGGAATATACCGAGGGAAAGATGAATGCGTATTCACTGACAAGAGGTCATTTTAAAAAAATGAAGGCTCGTGTGAAGGAGATGTTTGCAGTGTTGTAATAAATTATATTGATAAATAGGGATGCTTACTTTAAACGCGGTTGTAATTTACCGAACGGCAAAAGTAGAAAAATTCCGAACATTTTGAACTGATTAAGATCTTTAAATTGTGAAGGTCTGAGTACCTGAACCTCTTAGAAAACATCCAAACATATCAAAAAGTGAAGATGGGTCAATTTGATTCTCGTTCTCCGAAGATATTAATAAAATAGTTATATGTTCGGAGTTTTTTAATGCTTTAAATTTTTCACAATTCTAAATCAAGAAGTCGCTCGTATTTTGGTCGTATTTAGGAAATCACATAGTTGCCGAAAATCAGTGCACAGTGTTCATGGTGTTGTTGTAAAATTGCGTATATATGTCGTTTGAAACCCTCTCTAACGCAATTTTATTATAAACTAACACCTTAGGGTTAAACTTTTGCTCGAGGAATTAACTCATTTTCATCAATAAATATTAACCCATCAGGTTTTCTACTCGTAAACTAACGTTTAAACCTCAGTCCAATGTCGTTATCACTTACTACTAAACCCAAGTGAGATATGGCTCTTGTCTCAGCACGAGCCAAAAATATGATGGAACATTTGATTAATCATATCATTGGAGTATTCCCAATTACTTATATCAAGTGTACAAAATATGTCCATTCTTTGATATATTTGATAAATATCTGATATGAATAAAAACTTTGTCTGTCGTTTCAAGATCCAAGACGTTATTTCGTCCTTGTTGTGACCAATCTATATATAAAAGCTGAGATTGTCCATTGCTTCATACAAGTCCATGCTTCATATATTATGTTTTGTAAATGAGTTTGTGAGCATGCAATTGAAAACGAGGCTGCAGCTGGAAAGTGCAAGTGACAGGGGGATATATCCTCACATTTTATCATGCGACCAGTTCTTATCCAATGAGAAAGCGAGAAACATTCCAGTGGTATATTAAAAGCTGATTATTATTTTCCGTAGCGAGACGCTTCTTTTTCATTAAAAGCTAGTAATTTCCCATTGTTCGCTTGTTTATTTTAGAGCTACAGTCTGACCGTTAACACGTGACAACGAACCCCGATTTCACAGACTGTTTTCAAGCAACAGTCTTATCCTGGGTCGCTCCTATTGTGCTATGGATATCGTCAATTGTATATTTGCCATATTTGCTGACAAGGCAAAAAATTCACAGATGGACAGTTGGAAGCAAGCTGCATTGGTCAAAATTGGTAATCCTCTTGATGATCGTTCGAAGAAAATCTCTGAAAAATAACGCAATACTTTACTTAATAATGTACAGTGTAATGAAATTAGATTGTTGTCAATGGGTGCTTTTCTTTGCAGATCATTGGGGTCTTATTATGTATTGTGACCCTTGTCAGTCTGCTCTATTTTATCAACCAGCAAGACGTACCAACAGCAGTATGTATAGCCAATGCAGTAAATCTTGCCACATATGTAAGTATCAAAACGACTTAAGGTATTTCGTCAAGGTTACATATGTACATGTATTTAGTAAAAAATATGAAAATAAAATGCTTACGCTATTATTGTTATGATGCGTGTGCAACTCACTCAAAATGGGTCATTTTGAGTCTTCGTAGTGTTAATTGTTTGCGCAGAAATGATCAAACTCATTAATCTTAATGTAGTAAAATTGATTGGATTCATTATAAAAACGGATTCATCACACAGGTAAAACAGCGCTATGGAAATTAACTGTGTTATTACAAATTGTCTATGCATTTGGGAATACATCAAGACACCACTCTCAATTTATGCAAACTAGACTGTTCTAGGAGAACATCCTTCAAACAATTATAAAAAGGAATGAACAACGGTAAATTGTAAAATGCCATGGCTTTGTTGTTTCGGCCATCTTGGAACCTAACTTTCACCTATTAATTTAATGTGGTAAAAATTAAAAAATTATCCCTTTTTGTAGATTCACGTTCTCTTCCTCATGCGGAGGGAGTTCCTAGTAGGCGAACATTCATCGGGGACAATGTTCATGTTTTGGTTCACAAACATTATAGTTTCCATAGTTATACTCAGATCTAAAATCATACAGTTTCTGGTAAGTTTTAAATCTGACAAATGGAAATTATTGTAATGATATTCAATTATGTAGTGATAGCGTTTTAGTTTACCTACATAATGGAGAGGTTAAGCTAACGATGTTTTTCACAACGTAACCGTGAACGCAAAGTACAAAAATTAACAAAGGAATGTATCGAGCGCTCATAGTTTTATGCGCGCTTAGTCTACTTCAGATACTCTTTCAGCTTCAGCGTTTCGGGTTTAGAACGGGAGATTTGAATATTTGACGTTGGGTCAACGGGAACCATTTTACTCGTGTCTATTGAACACTATGCTGTCAATTTTGATTTCGATGCACAGTTGAATTCTTGCTGAACACGATGATGTATGTCATGCATGATTTAGCGCCAAAAATCTTACGAAACGAGCTCGTTTAAAATATGTATTAGAAAACCAGCTATAAAACCGCATCAATGACATACTATAGAATCATTACACGCTATGGTGTAGTCTAAACAAACACTGGATTTGAACGGCTATTTATATGAGAAGGCTACATGAATTTGTATATGGTCGAGTGATACGTACAGGTTCAGTTTCGATTATATATGCAAAGCTTAACCTCTCCATTATATATTAAGCAGAGGCAATTGGTTCGACTCCCGGTTCAGGCGAGACTTGTTTTTTTATAAACTTTGTTGTCCAGAATTCGATGTTTTTTTCAATTTTATATTAATTCTTATTTAATTTTTCTTGTTTGAATTTTCCGTTTTAAATTCAAACTTTAAAATTCTGTTCAATTTTTTCAACTCTAGAATTTATAATTCATATTTCTTGTTCAAAGATTTTGTTTAATTTTAGTCTTGTTTATTCAGTCTTTGATATTTCAGATGAGCAATTACACGTCTCATCCATGTTTGATTAAATTTAAAATTAGCTTTGTTACAAATATCAAACTGCAAAAAAACAATTTCGAAAAGCAAAAACTAAACATCAAACACCATCATGCAAGAAATCAAACACTGAAAAGTTCTTTCATTTCAAGATCAATAGTAGCTTTGACTTTCAATATTCAACATTCAAAAAGATCGACACTAGAAACTCAAACTATACTTCATGCAATTTTCGTTTCAAAAGTTTAATCAAAAATGGTAAAATGTTCATACTTATGGTTCAAAAAGTTCGAACCAAAATGTTCCAAAATGTTCAAACCAAATTGGTTCAAAAGTTTGAACAAAGAAACCAAATTACTTGCAAAATCACTTTCAAGATCATCATTTTAACAGTTCGGCATTCACGGATGTCTGCGCATGGGCACTTTAATGTTTTATTAGTACACCCATGCGGATACATCCACATCTTCAATTGAGCCAGTCAGATTATACTACCATTCGATTCGAATGCGTGTAAGATGATTGAGATTACCAAACTGTTTGAATGGAAAAATCAAAAGTTCAAATAACAAAAATGTACATATGTTCGAACCGCACATACTGTCTAAACTTGGTACGTTCAAACGAAAGAGATTTCGCTACTCAATCATAGTACTGTATTAATATTCCCGCATAACGTATAACTTAGTATCATACGTCCATAAACGTGATGTTCCTACCGTGCGTATAGACGAGGATTTATAAGAATATCACGCTAAGGACGTTTAGAACTGTGCAACGAATGATGACGTAATCAAGTTAAGTTATATCTCAGTAATATGGACCATGTCATACTCATATGAATTTGCTGACATATCCTTATTGTTTCTATATGTATTTAGGAATACGCAGATAACACAGCTAGACTCATATTTGCAAGCATTGTATGCTGTCTAGTCTTCTTAGAGTTTGCCCTACACCTGTTTGCTGATGTGAATGCATTGAGACTTCCAACAAGCAAGCGAATAAGAGAGGGAAAACCACTACTTGGGTCAACATTAGATGAATCAATCACAGATAAAAATAGACATGTACGTATATATATCTAAGAACAAGTGCCAAAGGGAAAGGTGGAAGGGAGAATATAGCTGTATTAGGATCATTTTTATGGAATGGGCGGGTGATCTTTTTGCGTTTGAAGGAAACAAATCCATATCCATTAATTTTCGAACGGTCTCTTTTCATTGTAAGTTTACTTTACCTATATAGGGCAAAAACTCTCTATTCTTAAGACAGAAAGTTCCACCCCCGAAACTGTAGTCAACATGCAGATGGATGTATATTCATCTGTTCTCGACATGAGACTGCTTTAGTTCAGGGAAACCTTAAAGATCATCAAGGAGAATTGGCTCCCAGGATCGCAATTCGATATTTTCCAACAATGAAAACATCAAAATGTCGTTATTTTCTGAAATTATAATTAACCGTCTATAAATTAAAAATAAGCAGTCTAAAAGATTCGAACGAATAGCTCGATCACTCCTTGTGAGTTTTGTAATTTTTCTTTTGGAAACAAGATCGAAATTCAAGATTCTAATGTTGAAGTGAACAAAATGGCGGCTGTTTGAATTCAAATTTTCTAACCACGACTTGCCCATATATGGTGGAAATATCGAGGTTGCACTCTTGGAGCCAATCATTGTTGACGATCATTTGCAAATCAATTTTTCAGTTTCAAAAAGTAAAACATAACGAGACAAATTTGAAATTACAATTCCTTGCCCTCTCCGCTTCGGGAGGGGGGAGGGTCTCACACAATTTTTTGAATTGTGCATTATGATGTCGTGTCGTTTCGTCCGGTACATAGCCCAAGCCCCGGGTAAAACAAATCCTTGTTCATTTTCTTTTAGGCAATCATAAAAAAGACTCAAACTTCCAAATGCATTAGAACATTGATATTATATCACATAGAAAACACACCATCCGCAGGATAGATACGCATTTGCAATTGTATTTGTACTTACTGTATTTTAAGAATCCATGTCCAGAATTACAAGCTTCTTTCCTGTCCAGAGTGTCATTTTGGTGGATGACTGGGTTAGTTTGATCATACAATTTTCAGGCCACATAGACTTTCAAAACACGGACATGAGTTCCGATCTCGCGAAACGTGTTCCTTGCTCCCAACATTCTAACATCGCGAACGTCGATTCTAAAGTCATTTCCTCGCTCCCGAACTTATTTCTCCGCTCGCGCACCATCAGTTGTGTGGCTCACGATTAGGGAACTCGGTGCGCGAGCGGGAAGTTACGGGAGCGAGTAAATGGTGGTTTGCTAGAATCGATAGAATCGATGTTTTCTATGTTAGGACCGTGGGTCGAGGCAAGGAACATGGCTTGCGAGGTCGGTACTGATGTCCGCGTCTGTGGAAGTCTAAGAGGCCTGATATTTCTTTGCTTAAAATTCGACCTTTTTATTATTGAATCTAGCCTTTAACTGATATATGCATGTTGCGTATGTATACCTTGTTTGAATTTAGATTACACTACTTTATGAATTAACTAATTCTTTCTACAGTTTTTTCTATATTTACAATTACCAAAGTGATACAATTATCAGTATTAATAATTTCAATATTTAAGAATTCTATGCCGTTACAATTGTTAAATATTAGGTTTAATGAACCAGCTAATAGTCTCGCACTAATGAAGAATGTAGCCTGGACTAACACATTATAACATTATACTCTTATTTTCACAAATTGATGGTGCTTGTGAATCACTTACACAGATTTTCCATTCTACACCAGGTTCATTATGTTGGGCTTCAAAGGGAAGCTGAACGACGATGCATTACATTCCTTACGGCCATGTGATGAGACTAAACAATGTATGGATGCATTTTTACAAGGATGGAAATCGCAACAGAAACGTGCACCCGCTACTAGCTTTAACAAGTACGTTTATGTTTATGTATTTGTGAATTGACTAACCCTAACGCACAACACAATTCAGGCCCTTATGAGTCATTATCATTATATTATGTAAAATCAATACAAAAAGCAAGTGTCACAATAAGTAGACATTAACGTGTAAATGATTAAGTAAAACTCATTTGGAAGTAAATTTAGCTCAATGGGAGAGGAGGCGGGGATTAGGTACAACTTCTTTGTATGCAGTTTCATTGCTATGCCTATTTAAACCTCGTTTCTTCAGTACCTATTACAATTTCTACTTTCTACGTAACTTTCTATCTGGGCTTTTATATATTATTAATTTGTTCTTTCCCATTTTACACCTACTAGTATTTTTCTGTTTTCTTAGTAACACCTAGGATACTGTATTTCAAGCTACCCTTAATAAAATTATAAGAAAAATCCAAAATGGAATTTTGTATATCAAGAATGCTATCATGCATACACGATGTTTCTATTTAAGCTTACTGTTGAATGTGGCCAATCGATCCTGTAGTTTTGATATTTTTATTGAAAGATCGTTGAGTTTAAGTCAAAATGGTCTGAACCAACATACTGTATAAGTGGTATTTAATCCGTGTGGTTAATTTTCCGAAAGTTCTTTAACCATTTTCCTGATAATAATTTTCCTTATGACAAGAAACTTCTCATTAGATAACATTTTGAAGATAATATTTCCGACATTGAACTTTACGAATCCCTCAAAAATAAGGCAATAGGCAGGCAAATTAAATGCAAAGGAAAAATTAAGGCAAAATTACCACTTGTACAGTACTTGTTTCAGTATTTATTTCACCTTATAGCAAAAATGTTTCCATCGCCAAAAATCATGATCAATGTCAGTTAGTCGTTTTTTACAGATCACCTAGTTACAAGCCATACAGCACTTACAAATACACAGCGGGAAATACCGAAGATGACACGGCAATTGTCGAAAACGGGGACATTACATACCCTGACTGCAAAGCACATACCAAGGTCTCGGTTATTAAGGCACTCTGGAGCGCCTTTGGCTGCTATTATTCTTCAATTGGTATATTTGAGCTCTTAAACACTATATTCACCTATATTAGACCCCTTGTATTAGAGTAAGTATAAGCCACGATAAGATATCCTTCTTTATTATTCGATTGTTTTTAGCTCTTGTGACAAATTATAGGACATTTCAATCAATGAACATGGGACTTTTTATAAGCTGACAATTTTTATTTGTGTCATTAAGTTTTTATGTCATCACCAAGAAGTGGTGACATATTCTGGTGGTCTCCGGTTTTTAGCGGCAGTTGGTGGTTGGCGGTCGGCGGGCTGCGTTTGTAACTGTAACAAATTCTTACAACTTCCGATAACTTAACAAATACTGTATCTTCAATGTTTCAGCGGTTCAAATCTGACTTTTCATTTCAGATTTCACCTTCAATGACCTTTTCAAGGTCAAAAAGTTTTTTCAACTTGCTTCAAATTGAGCAAATATTTTTTTCAAAATCATGTATAAGTTATCTGAAGTTCAAATCTGACTTCAATTACCTTCAATTACCTTCTCAAGGTCAAAAAGGTATTTTTTCAACTTGCTTCAAATTGACCATTAATTTTTTTTCAAAATCAACTACAGAGTTCTCAGAAATTCAAATCTGAGTTAAAATTGAACTAATAATATTGTTAGCAACAAGGTGGTGAGATTTTGTCATGTTAATGCCTTGTTATAGTTGACGTCGACCTTTCACTTATCTAATGCCTTGGTCACATTTGCTGCGATTCATCGGCCGGCGCCCGCCCGCCCGATTGAGTGTTTTGTTCAATATCGCATTCAATTTTGAACAAAATACCCAATCGCACGGGCGCCGTAGTGAAAATCGGAGCAAATGTGACCAAGGCATAAATTTAAAAGACTATAGTCAATTAAACCCACAACCATAAAACTGAATTGATTTTCTCACTTGATATCTGAATTCATTTCTAGTTTGTTGATCAGCTTCGTACAAAATAGAGATCCATTTGTATGGAAAGGTTATCTCTACGCTTCTCTTCTGTTTTTGCTGTCAATTGGAAGAGCTTTAGTGAGTCAGCAACATTTCCTTGGCAAGATTACCACTGGTATGAGGGTCCGATCAGCCCTTACAGCTGCTATCTATAGAAAGGTACATTTTACCATTACATGTAAAAAAGCACGCTAGACGTGCTTATAATTTTATATCAGGGAGATCAAGGTATATTTAAAAGAAAATTTGTACGATTCTCTAGTGAATAGTTCGGCTCTCTGTAGTTTTTACTTGGACGCTTGATTATAAAGGCATGAAGAAAATAGTTATAATCTGGGAGAAAATGAGGTGGGATAGTAACTGTAATTCCAGGGACCAAAATATAAATCGTTCACGAACAAATTCGGTTAAAAACCATGAACACGTATATTATAACCTCCCTGTCATGCGATTAGTGACAAATGTGTTCAGTGACATGAATGGATGAAGACACTAAACCCGATGACGAACTGAATGTTGTGAGATCTTAGCGTGGGAAACCACCTCAAGTACTAGAATAGTAATGTGAAAACTGCACATGTTTTTTCCAGGCATTAAAACTCTCTAACAATTCTCGAAAGAAATACTCCTTGGGACAGATTATCAACCTTATGGCTGTAGATTCTCAGAAAATAAGCGACGTGTGCAATTTTCTTCACAACATATGGACCGCTCCTTTGAACGTTACTATATGTATGGTATTATTGTGGAAGTATCTGGGAGCGGCCTCATTGGCGGGCCTTGCTGCTTTGACGATCTTGGTTACCGTCAACGCTTTATTGGCATCAAAGACCTTGAAAAAATATCAGGTACAATAGTTTGCCGATGATCCTTTTTCCATACAATACTTCATGTTGAAAATAACTTTTTTTTTTAAATAAAAAAGTTGTACGAATTCGGCATGATGAACCACATGTCTAGTATCATTGGCATAATACAAGTTGATAAATGCAGCGTGTGTAATGTAACACCCTATTTTCCCTGAAAACAAACGTGTGTATGTATCTACATATACGGACTCTCTGTATGCAGGTTATCCAAATGAAACTGAAAGATATGCGTCTAAAGTTGACGAACGAATTACTAAATGGAATTAAGGTAAACGTTTCAGTGTTTAATTTAACCAAGAGAGACATTTAGTCATACAGCCGTACTTATTTTAAAATTAGAAAATGTCACTTCTGATCTATTTTTCACATTTTCTATGAAGAAATATTGCGATGAAGCTACAGTATATTTACTAAAAGCAATGTACACTTAACTTTAATAAAAAAGTTCAAGATGTAAAGCATGCATATGCATAGTTATAAGAGTAATCCAGCTTAATGCTGACATTTACATTGCGATTGCTATTACCTTGATGGATTGATATGCCATGCTTTGTTATAAAGGTGATCAAGCTATATGCTTGGGAGGGGGCGTTCATGGACAGAGTACTGAATGTCAGACAGAAGGAAATCGTCACAATTAGAATTGCAGCATTCATTATGGCTGGATCCTCAATAACATTTTTCTGCGCACCACTTATTGTAAGTCAATGCATGAATGCTGTGCGTGTGTTTTCTGATGAGTAAATGGTTAAAACAGATTTTTATATAATACGTTTTGAAAAAAGCTGCTGCAGGGTGTAAAAACGCAACCGAAAGAAATATCTCTATTTTTGAAAACACTTAACCAATTATGTTCATTTTTCAAGACACAAAGAAGACACCTTTAATGTATAGTTTCAGTAGTTAGTTAATCGGTTGAAAAACACCTGTTCAAAAGGCGTTTGTGATCTAGAGAATACGCCAAAACGCAGTTATACGATGTCCTGGTCCAGGCAGACTTTAGAAGGCATTTCGACCATGACTTTAAAACCCTGAAGATGATTTTGATGAAAATCTATAGACATACCATACGTTGAATGAAAATAATTTGTGACAAATTTAAACTGCCAAAACACAATGGTTATGAGGTAATTAGGTTTTATTGCGGTTGCATTTTTAACAATTTTTGCATTTTGAAGTATTTCTATTACGAATGCCTTTTTGGGCGGGTGTCCAAGGTATTGTTTTTTTTAACTACAGGATCTATACATTTAAGGCCTCTTCTTTCTTCCCAACAAAAATAACACAATTGTGAGTTTTATCCAAAATATAGCGAATTATTTTGGGAGTGTGTTTTTTGAACACCATGTATATCCATTGAGTAAGCTTTGAACATTTTTTAATTGACGTTGAAACGCTACTATAGAATCAAAAGCACTGCAGCAATTAGATAAAATGCAATTATGTAAATGAATTTTGTCCATGAACAAAAATATGTGTACTGTAAACTGTGAATATACGTATAGCATCATATAATGAAATCATTCTTTCAGTTTGCAGTTATTTCGTTCAGTGTATACGTATTATTGTCTGCATCTCATCTACTGAATCCACAAGTGGCATTTGTTTCACTCACTCTAGTCAACACACTTAGCAGACCCATGACAGTATTACCAAACGCAATTGGAAACTTTGTGCAGGTACGTGAAAAGAGCATTTGACAGTGATATGTATTTGCTTTTATTATTTAATATGTTCAACTGGATAGATGTATATGATATCAACATAAATAATGCTTGAAATATACAAATTATTGAAACGTTCTCCCTACATTTCAACGAACAACGTCCATTTTCCTCAGGCACTTATCGGCTACTGGTTATTAGTTCCTATTCTGATATCTGATTTTGAAATCTGACTTCTTGTTAAAGGCAGACTCAGATCTAACAATGACTTTGCTTCACCTTGACGAAAATTGTTTCAATTTTTAAATTATTTTGGGGTCGTATCATTCCTTGTCATATCTATTTTCTAAAAATACCCCAAGTATATTCTTTATTTGAGGAAAACGATAGATTTTTACAATAAAGCAATCATTTGTCTATATGAAAGGTTAACATTTTTATCATTTCTACAATAAGGCAACAATGTGTCTATAAAAATAGTTACCATTTTTATTACATTATTTGGGATCATTTTAATATTTTCCCCCCTTTTTGCCCTCTGAAACTTAAATTGATTTACCAATTGATATCACATCACAGATCTTTTGGGAGATATTATATCTGAGCTTGTAAGTAATAAATTGACACATTGTATAAACATAGCTCGCAATATTGTCACTCCCTATATATCTGATTCTGCCTTTAAACTTTTATGACACCTCAAAGTCAAAATGTCAAAATCTTCAAAATTGTGTTTTTGAGTTTTAAATAGGTTAAAATGATTGGAAATGACTAAAATGACAATTAAACTCAAAATGTTAAAAATAAAGGTCGAGGGAAATCTAGGTCAATTCAATCTGGGGTCTTAAATTGAACTTTCAATTTCACCAGTATAGAAGTTCAGAGAGGCAATGACCGTCAACTTATAACATTTTAGGCGTATGTATCAGTGTGTAGGATCCAAGCCTTCCTAAATGACGAAGAACTTAGAGACGATGTAGTAAGCCGTTCTAAAGATAGACGTAAATATAATTTGAACTCTGATTATCAATATTACATATCAAGAAAACTTACAAAAATAATGCTAATTAGCATTACATTAGACGATAGTAACATGGTAGCGACTTGCAAAAATGTTCTGATATTTAAGAGGTAAAAACTTACAAAATAGCCATTGTTGTAGTCTATACTATCCAATAATTCATCTTGAAAATTTAAACGTGGTTTTGAGTTTTGTTACGTGTAATTCATTATTTTGTCTATTAATATAAGCATTATATAAGTTTAGGAAATTATGAAATCACTTTTAAAAAATGTTATATCTGTTGCATTATATAACTTATTAATTTAGTTGACATGTAATTGGATTTCAACAGCTTAGTTTGTTGACTAAGTGGGATTGATACTCTATAAGATTATTCTGAGTGTTGATATATTTTTCCCACAGAGAACGCAGTTTCTGTCGAAGATGGATCATTTTCTTGGGAACAGGAGGAAAATGCAACATTGACAAAGTGAGTTGGCCTTATCATATACGATTCTTAGCAGATGAAGGAGTTTACTTGATAAATAATTAAATCTTCATGAATGTTCATGAATGTCAATAACGAAAATTTTCTCACTACACTACCCACTACCCTACCACTACACATTCTTTAAATTTGGACTTCAATCATTTCCAGAATCAGATCCACAGTGGTTGACGAAATCACAAGCTTCGTGTACCTACCAATCTATTCCTTATGATCTCAAATTCAATATTCCCCGAAAGGTTCGCAATATACAATAAATGAGTGATGTTATTAAGAATTCAAAGTGAAAAAATGGAAAAAGTGTTAAATTGTCCCAATTAATAAAAATGGTAACCATAACAATTGAAAGGTTGATACATTATTGTATAAAAATCTTTAATTTTCCTCTGATAAATTATGCATTTTGACTATTTTTAGAAAATGAAAATGACAAGAGGATACGAGCGCAAAATATTCTGAAATTGAAATTTTGCTCATTATAGATCTGAATCTTTCTTTAATCTATAGATAGCAGAAATGTTTATTCTTTTTGTATCACCAAAGGAATATTTCTGTATTAGTAGTTTGAGATTAATATCCAACTTGAAAATGGATGTAATTAATACCATGGTACTGATCATCCTATAAGGTCGTGATTCACTATTTGGATGATGTTGGAATATCCCACCTTGCTTTATCAAGCTTCGGACCTATCCTCGATACAACGTAGTGATTGAGCGTGGGAACCGACGATGGGAATATCCCTCGGTTGATATCGATATTTCTCTCAGATAAACCATTCCCTTGGGGAATATTGATATCATCGACTGATATTCCTCATATCAAATCCCGCCTGGTGAATATCCACTTTGTTTACCCTTGCGTCTTAATATAATATACGGCGGATGGAGAAACGTAATTTAGTTTGTAGTTTATTAGTTATGTACTGTTGTTCATTTTTTCTACAGTGTTACAGTCGGTGTAAAACACGGAGGCCTTACGATGATTGTTGGAAAAGTAGGTAGTGGAAAATCGTCTTTAATATCGGCAATGTTAGGAGAAATGGATAGAAAAGACGGTAGTGTCAATGTATCTGTAAGTATAAAACAAAATCTCAACGCTTATATATCTAAGATCCAGAGTAGCTATAATTCTAGAATCATGATGCATGATTTGCGCCATTTGGTTTTTCATATATTGAAGTTTAGCTTCAATGTGCTAAAGAACAATTCAGATGTCACGCAGATAAAAAAATTACGCAGGAAGAACATATTTATTTGACACCCGGTATAGCCTTTTTTAATGTACAATGCAATCCTCATAAGGACTAATTCCACTCTCAAACATTAAATATTCGCAAATGTTTGGACGGTGTTTTGTAGTCAAATAAATTATTTACACCTGTAACAAAACCTGTAATTTCTTTTAAAGAAATCTACAGCCTATGTTCCTCAGGAGGCATGGATCAGGAACGATACACTGATCAATAACATATTGTTTGGAAAGAAGATCAGCCGTGAAACATATGATCAAATAATTGACGCATGCGCTCTCGGTCCAGATCTGAAAGCACTTCCGGCAGGAGACAAGACTGAAATTGGGGAAAAGGTAAGTCATTTTCGACTGCATCAGTTCCTCTTTGGTAATTATAGATGATATAAAATGAGTAAATTCTTTAGTTGAATTTTCGTGGAGTTTGGTTATTCTTCCCGTATATATGATAAAGGTAGATTGCTGCGTTTTCTATAGCAAACACTAAAAGCATAGCCATATTTCTTAAAACATAATATGACACGCGAAGTGAAACGTTTTTCTGCTTCCATAGGGCATTAATCTCTCTGGCGGTCAGAAACAGAGGCTGAGTATTGCCCGTGCAGTCGCTCAAGATGCCAATATTTATCTGTTAGACGATCCTCTGAGCGCAGTGGATTCACATGTTGGCAAACACATTGTCGAGAAATTAATTGGACCAAATGGACTTCTCAAAAGCAAGGTGTATATTGTGAAATGTTGAAAGTGACAGTAATTTACAAGCATTCTTACGGGATACTGGGCAAAGATGAATGCGTTTTTGACACGTCTGCGCATGAATTACATACTTAAAGGACCATGGAAGTATCGCAACAGATTTCAGACAGTCATTTGTTGGATTTTGGATATTTTCTGAGAATTTGAACAGGTGCATATGTTATGCCAATGCATTAACTCAAGGACAAGCACTCATGGAGGTGGTAGAATAATTTGGACTTTGAGACAGCAGGAAAGGTGCAAACACCCCACCAACACATTTTTCTGAAATATTGTCTTGATTTTCGGCCCTTTCCACACCTGTTTTTCAATGTTTAATACATCGATATTTAATTATTGCGTTTTGATTCACAGTTAACCACTTAAAAGGATAATAATGACTGTCTGAAATATGTTGCGATACCTTCCGTGGTCCTTTGCAAGAATCCTAAGTCTTCCTCTTCTGTGCATCCTTCAATTTATTTGAATAGCGTGTTAATGTATCAGCCTATATAACTAGTTTATAATGTGTCTTTGCCCGCAGTGATTTCATTTCTCCATTTAGTTTTTACATAAAGGAATATCTTCTTCAGACCCGAATTTTGGTGACTCATGGTGTATCTTATTTACATCTGGCTGACCAGATAGTAGTTATGAAAGAAGGAAAGGTTTCTGAGATAGGGACGTATCAACAACTGTTGAACCACAAAGGGGCATTCTCCGAGTTTTTAAGTAATTACGTAAATGAGGATACAGGGGAAATCAGCTCAAATTCAGAAGGTAATTACACAATCGATCCATTATGGCACGGCCATTCCATTCTGAAATGTTAAGAAGTCAAGTAAGGAAAAAAATGTAAAAAAGTGTACCCAGTCATTATAAGGGAAACAAATCCCAATAAACTTGCCCAAATGATAATTCATCGTGAAAAGAAAAGTCTAATGCCCATGTACAAAATCCAGGACCATAACATTACGGGACATTTCTTTTATACTGAAACAAATACAACATAGAATAATATATAAATTTAAACTTCAATGTTATTAAAGAAAATGAAGTCTTTGAAGATGTAAGAAAACATATTTCTCCACTGTCTGAAGAAAGTGGAGTTAGAGACAATGAGCCAATGCGTAGGGGTAGTGATGGAAGAAAACGTCAAAGGTACCAGATTTATTACATAATACTTATTCCTAATTCTCAAATTCACATTTTTGAAGAGTTAGAAATATAGTTAATAGTTAGTTTTATTTTAACAAATGAAATGGGATTTACTCACGTTAAGTAACACCCTGGTGTGTAGATTGAACAGAAGAAATTATGAAGAGTAATCGTGTGTCATGACTTCACTTGGTTTCGAACTAGTATTCGTTAATTGTGGACAATCTAGGATAGTTTAACAACCATATATGGGCAGCATAATTGACCATTTTGATTTGTGTTAACCAATTCAAGGTCAAGTAAATCAAGATCAGATAGCGAGTGTTCGAATGTGCCACTTGGTTCTATAAAGTCAGCAAATATGCAATCGGAGAAGTACAACATACACAAAGAACAAAAGTTGATGGGCGCCGAAGGCGCAGAGATAGGAGGAGTATGTTTATGATATATATTCGTTTTCTATTATCTTCATAATTTTACTTTTAATTCTAATAAAATAACGACGCTCCTATTGTGGCCCTCACATTACAAGTACGCATGTCTTATTTCAAGTATTTACATGCTGTCTTTCCAATCCGCCATTTTTTTTGTTTTCGTTACCGCAAAATTCTGCAAATCGCCTTGACGCAACCGTCATGGTAATACATAGTGATAACGTTATATTTTTTCACAAAGGTGTGTATTCTAAATATATGAAGGCGTTTTGACTCTTTCCTAACATCATACATTTCGTCTTATGTAATTATATATTCTTCCACAAAGGTTAAACTTGCCGTATATGCTACCTATATGAGGGCATTGGGACTCTTTCCTATTCTGATGGTTGTCATTAGCTACAGTCTGTTCGTGGCGTCTGACCTCGGTGGTAATATCTGGTTAAGTGAATGGAGTGAGGACAGGGATGTAAACGGCACAACCACAGATAAACGGACTGATATACGACTTGGCGTATATGGTGGTATTGGTGTCGCTCAAAGTATGTAGAACTGGTTCTGTTTTCAGTCCAAAATTCCTCAAGAATAACTACCTTGTCTTCTCTTTCAATATAATACATTTTGAACTAATTTACTTCATAATATATTCCATAAACTGTAATACAGCTTAAATACATTTTAGATTTCCTCCATTACATCAAAATACCACAAATCCTGAAAATATATAAGATACTATGTTCTTTAGTGACATACTTTCTTGAGAAGCATCTTTTTTTTCCTATATCGTCCGTATCTAAAAGTTTTTTTCCCGCCATATACATTTGTTGTCATCTTGAGCTCCTTTGACATTTCTTGTGTCTGATTCTTAAAATCCTGCCAAATATGCCAAATTATCATGTTTCTCATTAAAAACAGTGAAGCAATTTTTGACATTGATTGAGAGACATCAGATTTATTCCAATCAACGATCTTTCCAATGATATACCTCATTAGGTACTTTCAAATCTTTTCAATTGTATACCTCATTAGAGACTTTCCAATCTGTCCAATGATATCCCTCATTGGGTACTTTCCATTCTTTCCAATGATATACCTGTACCTCATTAGGTACTTTCCAATCTTTGCAATGATATACCTCATTAGGTACTTTCCAATCTGTCCAATGATATCCCTCATTGGGTACTTTCCAATCTTTCCAATGATATACCTCATTAGGTACTTTCCAATCTTTCCAATGATATACCTCATTAGGTACTTTCCAATCTTTGCAATGATATACCTCATTAGGTACTTCCCAATCTTTGCAATGATATACCTCATTAGGTACTTTCCTATCTTTTCAATGATATACCTTGTTAGGTACTTTATATCTTGTTATTTTTTGCTGTAGAGGGTGATGGTACTTATTTGACAGCCATTATAACTTTTTCCAAGGATGTCACTTGCTATTGCATAAAAAAATCAACAAGAGCATGTGACAATACTACAAACGCATGCATGTGTGGGTCAACTTTGTCTTCACCATTGACCATCAATACATTTTGACATGTTTTACAAAATCAATTGTGTAATGTGTTTCAGTCAATATTGTTTATTATTTTCAGTGTCATCGGTTTTAATCGCAACACTCAGTCTCGCTTTCGGCGCTACACGGGCATCAAACATCCTCCATGAGAAGTTGATTGTTAGAATTGTAAAAGCACCAATGGAATTCTTCGACACGACGCCACTGGGCAGAATTCTTAACAGATTCAGCCAAGATATGAATCAAGTTGATACAAATATAAGAGGAACCTTGATAATGATGCTGAGAGGGTTGTCAAGTATTATCACTACTATCATCGCAATTAGCTACACATCACCATATTTCCTTATAGCCTTTGTGCCCCTGTCCATCTTGTATATATTCATACAGGTACTCGTATGTCTGTTTTGATTCTTCGTATATGCAAATGTACAGTACATTTTTTCGAATTTCCCATACATACCTTGACATAATGTTCATATACTATATGACATATTTTTAAAGACTTCACGTTTTGCATATTTGTTTAACAATAACATGTCAACATTTTATAGTTTACCATAAAATTGATGAGTTATTGTTAACATGCGTTATTTTTAGAGAGTATATGTTGCATGTTCTAACCAGCTAAGAAGATTAAACTCCATCAGAACGTCGCCCATATATTCCCATTTTGGCGAAAGTGTTACCGGGGCGTGCTCAATCCGTGCCTATAATATGCAGAGTTCATTTATTAAACAATCGGACAAACTCACAGATGATATGATGATGGCCAAGTTTCCATCAATTGCTGTAAGCAGGTATGATCGCTATTGGGAATCTCATCCGTTGAATTACCAAAGCAACCATTATTTTGGACCAATGTAATGATAGAACTGAAACTATCTAAGTTTCCGAAGTCAGTTGACATTCCAAAACGAATTACTTATAAATAGAAAATTATTAAACCAGCGAGGGCGTTTTCGAGAACTTATTTAAATACACAATATTTAATTCTAGTATTCAGCTAACAGGCAAGTAGTACTTATATGTCCTGTACATGTATAAAAAGCACTTATAGTTGCTATTGGTTTGTGATGTGTTAACTGTTTTTTTAAACACGTCTATGTTTGATATTCATAGCAACACAAGTGTTGAGAAAGTTTCATTCTAAGTAATTTAATTTATTTTCATCAATTTGTAGATGGTTGTCCGTGATGATTGAAATGATAGGTAGTTTGATTGTGTTATTTGCTGCATTGTTTGCTGTGTTGGGCAGAGCCACAATTGGTGCCGGTCTCGTTGGTCTCTCTGTGTCCTATTCGATACAAGTAAGGAGTTATTGTTTGTCTTAATAATACATAAAAATAATGAAACATTAATTTGTTTATTTTTTAACACAATAGAAGTGTGATTTTTAGATGAGATTCAAATTATATCAAAAATCAGAAAATCTAGAGAGAGCATTTGAAAAACAGGTACATATTGTGTACTACTTGCTGAAAGATTTATCCTCCAAGGTAGATATACATTTAACCGGAGATATTCAAAGCATATAATAAGATTTTATTTTAAAGATTGTTAGCTCATTAGAAGATAGAACATAAATGAATAAACACAAGGAGCACTCGCGTCTCGAACTCGCAACCTCGTGGTTACGGCGCCCAATCGATTGTTTAAAGTCACACAGATATGGATATTTTCAGGTGACTGAAAGACTCGCTTTATTTGTGAGAAACATGTCTGACATGGAGTCGAACATTGTAGCCGTGGAAAGGATAAGTGAATACTCAGAAATTAAAAATGAGGTAAATAACGAAGATGTGATTGAAAATGCAATTTTCATTATGACATTTTCAACCCCTCTTCAACTCTCAAAGCTACAAAAATGGTCGTAGAAATTCCGACCAAAACTATTCTTATTTTGGCAATACGTATCCAATATAACGAAGCCTAAAGTATAATATCAACTTGTCTTGATTTCAGGCACCATGGTCAATTGCAGAAACGAAGCCAAAGTCAACATGGCCGTCCAAAGGAGAGGTACTTTTTAAGGACTTGAAACTAAGATATAGAGCAGAATTAGACCTGGTCCTGAAAGGCTTAACATTCAGTGTGAAAAGTGGTGAAAAGGTACGTTTAATCACGGGCATACAGAATGATAATGAAGTTGACGACAGAATGATAATAAAGTTTATTGGTCATAACTGCCAGTACAAAGGTGCTTACGCTCTATGTGACAACTTGAAAGGGCATATATATGATGGATTGGCACATTTCTTGGGCTAGCTTGGATTAATTTCAAATATATGCATGTACACCTTTGATGTAACCATTCCTTTATTAACTGTGTCCATATTCCAGTATTTTCTGAAAACTCCCTGCTCGATAAACAATTATATCATAAATGATTGGAAACTTTATAATTGTTTAAGATTGGTATAGTTGGACGGACTGGGGCTGGAAAGTCATCATTGACATTAGGCCTGTTTAGAATAATTGAATCTGCTGGTGGGTCCATTACGATAGACGGTGTAAGAATCGATAGAATTGGTCTCCACGATCTCAGGACTAAACTCACCATCATTCCTCAGGTATTTAATAAAAAAGTATTGTTTAATTGTCAGTTGAAACTTGCAGGGTATATGTTCCCATGCCTGTGATAGCATGCGAATATAAAACAGTCCTAGACTCTGCAAGCAGGGTATAACCTACAATAGATTCCAGATCAAATGTTTGCATGGAAAACTAAATGGTCATATTTTGCAAGCTTAGACAACGTTTGAAAGCATGTTTCTGTAGCTTAGTGTTTTTTATGTTTAAATTATGAAAGCTATGAATAACATAGAAAGCGGCCTCACTCATCCTCGTATGACAAGAGTGCTTTATATCTTCTACAGTATCAGTGTCATGCTATGTTTAAAAATAATCATTATTGTATCTTTAAGGATCCTGTACTGTTCTCCGGCACATTGCGAACGAACTTAGATCCATTTGATGAGCATACAGACGATGCCCTTTGGTCCGCACTAGAACACGCTCATTTAGCTTCATTTGTTAAGGAACTTCCAAAACAATTGCTCCATGATTGTTCAGAGGATGGACAGAATTTAAGGTTAGTCGATTATAATACGAGTCCTGAAATCTGCTAGCTTACGCCATGAGTATAAAGTCTGTACACGATATTATAGCACATATTATACTACTATTGTTAGCCAGCAACAGAAATTATTGGCCGTTCTGTTTCAGCGTTGGTCAAAAGCAGTTAGTATGTCTGGCGCGAGCTTTGTTAAGGAGTTCAAAAATTCTCGTCTTGGATGAAGCTACTGCTGCCATTGACCTAGAGACAGATGAACTCATCCAGAACACGATACGCGAAGAATTCAAAGATTGTACTGTGTTCACGATTGCTCATCGCCTTAACACAGTCATGGACTACGATCGGTAAGCTGGAATATCTTAACGACATACATGTTGACCCAATAAATATGACACCTAATCAAATCAAGAAATCTCCTATGGCAGCGTATACCGCTACACTAGCTGTATAGAATTTCCATATCATCAGTGATTAAGCCAGTTTGTTTGTTATCTGATACGTCTGCAGTAGGAGTCTTGGAAGAGTGTAACTACTTAACATTGATAAGGCATAAACATGAATACTTAACTGTTAAATGTCTAATGGTCAAAACATTGAAAAGTCTTATGTTAATTAAATGTAAAGCTGTGTAGAATGCTCAATTTCTAGTCACTAGTACCCCGCACGAGTTTTTGATAATAACTTTGACCCGTGATTTTAACATTCTACCCTAAACTATGTGTTATTAAATTTAGCACACAGATAAACTAGAGGCAATTTCCAACATAGGAAATTTTTGTTTTCATTTTACTTCAATATCAATAACAATAGAAACACACGCAACTGGACCAATGGTGTTAATGCTTTTAACCAATTTGACATCATAAAATCAAAATTTAGAATTGATTTAAACAATTTTATTTACTCATCACTTATTTGAACAATAACACTCTGTTTAAAGTAGATCTTTATGGTATTTTTGAGTAGTCTATCGGTAGTCTGTCTATAAGACAGGTTTATCGACAAAGCTTTATTTTGGAAATATATTTGTGCTTGATATCTAGTTGCCCAGGTGTTGTCATGGTTGAATCATAAATGTACTACAGTTTTAACATCATATTCATTGAAACAATATAGCAATTTTGGTAGAATGTTGAAATCACGGGTTAAAGTTATTATCAAAAACTTGTGTGGGGTACTATAATGCTGACCCTACTGTGCACTCACAGCGCAGTATTTGTAAAATATCAAAAATTACAAAAAATTACAACCGAAAGGATATAAATTCACAACAAGAGTTTGCAGAGTTTACTATCTTGTATCATCTAATCAACCTCTTCTGAAATCAATCTAATGAAATATTTGTCACTCAAAATAGATTAAAAAAACGTTGAAAATATTTGAGATAGCAGCATTCTTTCACAGTACACTACATTGATAATCATTGATAGATCCAAGACTAGATGGATTCGATAAATAATATTAATGATAAATTTTGCTACATTTAGAATGTAAAGGGTAATGTATCTATTACTGTAAACTCTTTATATTAGCGTATAGTGATCTTTCAGAAATAAATCAACGAAATCTCATCCTTTTAAATAATCTAACAATGATTTTTAACAGTACGCAATCTATTTATTTATATTTTGTCAACAAACTAAGTCAAATAAGATAAATAACATTATTATCTCAAAAACAAAAATGATGGGAAATGAAGTATATTTCTCTGTGTACAGTAACATTTTAGCAAAACCCTAATTCTGCTTTGAGAAGCAACTTCTACAGTTTGCTGGAATATGAAACCACATTAATGTTTGCGTTGACAGCTTAATGGGCCTAGATAGGGATTTAACATGCAGTATAGTTATACTGGTAGCGGTATACGCATTTCTTGATTTGTATGGAAAATACCATTTTACCATTTTATCGCAACACAATACGCGAGGAATTCAAATATTGTACTGTGTTCACCATTGCTCATCGACTTAACACAGTCATGCACTACGAACGGTAAGCTGCGATATCTTAACAACATACAGGGGTGACCCAATAAAGGACGATTCTCGGTTTGGAGAACGAAGTTCATCAATCTAAATGAGCACTATCCCTGCTTCGGACAAATTTGATTTTTTTAACATAATATAGATTTGAATGTCCTCTTTTGAATAGTCATAATTTAATTTGGGTAATATTTCTAGATTTTTCGCAAAAATATATTAGCGCAGTACACTGATGAACTTCTTTCCCCAAAATCGAGACTTGTATTTTATTGAATCGGTCTAATTGAGCGTTATCCCTGCTTCAGACCAATTTGTTATTTTTACATCTTGTAGATCTAAATGTCCTCTTTTGAAAATTCATAATTTAATTTGGGTAATATTTATATATTTTTCATGAAAAAAATTATAAGCCCAGGAGACTGTTCTCCAAACCGAGAATCGTCCTTTGACACCTAATAATGTAAAATACCATTTCATACACTATGCATGAATAATACACCAATGATAGTAATTTCAATACTACTTTTTCACACACATTGAGTAAATAAAGCACCAACATAGTTGGATTGATATCACTTATAGTGAAGAAGTTATTAGAGATTATTTGTGATCAACTTTGTTTGTCACCTTGTATACATGTACATGTATATACGCGTTTAATGCGTTAAAGGATACGGCTTTTGTTATTCTTGCAAATGAAAATGCATTTATTGAATCCACCTACAATTCGTTGAGTGCTTGCATTTAATTATGTTCACTGATGTTGACACATGACATTTAATGGAATTGATATTCAACTAAAACAAATTTCGAGACTAGCTTCAAGGTTAACATTTTGAACAACAGAATAATCAATTTTCCAAGGGGTCAGTAACTTCAATTTATTTTATTAACCATTCCTAATTTTGTATAATATATCTATACTGCATTCTACAAAGCCGGAAATTGTAATACAGAATAACTAGCTTTCTCTGGATGTAAACTAATGTATATAAGTTCTAAATGTTAACTTTGTTTATTTGATGTTTCCCATCACCATGGACTAAATGCTTTATTTTTTTCTCTGCAGAATTCTTGTCGTTGACGATGGTCTTATTGTGGAATTTGATACGCCCAGTACACTACTTAGTAATACGGAAGGAATTTTGTTCGCTATGGCGCAGGACGCTGGTATAGTTAGATACCATTGACAAATAAACAGTACAATATACTGATACAGATACTAATTGAGTTATACAGCTACTGATATAATAAAATAAAGACACAATTAAGTCGCAATAATAACCAGTCAAACGAAAATGTGTACTGTATACATTTGATGAAAATCATAGGTACAGTACTGAGGAAAAGAATGATTGGAGATCTGGGCTGACGGGTTGTATTTTATAAATATACTACTGCCATCTTTCTTTTGAACTTGTTCAAAAAATATAGCAATATATTATTATCAGAAACAAGTCAAATTCTTTACTTCAGAGAATATTTTTAATTTATTGAGACTTTCGACTAATATCCCTTAGTCTTTTTCAAAATATAACAGCATGTATACATTTATGTGACGTCATAAACAGACAATGGAAAATTTAATTATGTAACAAATGACCTAGTAACCTAAAAAATAACAACAACAAAAAACATAGATACGAAAAAACGAATGACCTAATAATAACCTTAAGATAAATATATCATCGTTATGGTAACAATTAAACTCAAATATTACTATTGCATACTTTGCTATACCATTCTTAATTTACAATATTTTATGATACAAATTGTCCAACTGATACCCATTATCTCTGTTCATTTTAGGTTGCATTGTTTTAATATGAATTGCTTCCTTAACCCTACGTTTAAGATCATGACTCTCATTATCAATGATTTTTACATTTTTACATTTTTACATAGAATATATTATTATATTTTATGCATTTCAGATATTGGGGTAGTTGCTATATTTGCTGAATTATTCTACCATCAAAATTTAGCATGACAAAGACCATCGATTTACATAAATAATATAAACTGAATTAAATTGGATAAAATACAGAGGGAAATAAATATACCGGTGTATAAAGTCAGACTATTTATTATCTGTGTCGTTTGAACGATTAAAACATATTTCAGTTTTCAGATTTGGCATTTCGCAAAACTTCTGATGTTCTTTTCACCAAAAATGAAACGTTTTCTCCAAATTCCTTGTTTATTCGGTGGATTGGATAGTTATATGGCTTCATGCCAAGTATCACCATGATTCCCAACCAATAACTATGTCAAAATGAGATAAGTATTTACTCAATTATATACAACGTTTTTTAAGCGATGCTCCTTATGAAGGGAAAGAGCTGCGCAGCAAATTATGACGTACTACACAAGTTTAATTAGTTATAAACATATGGGATTTATGAACACGCTATGAGTGCGTTGCAAAATCTCTCTAATCTCTCATTTGAACCAGTGTACTCCATATAGATTAGATTTCTTGTTGCAGTTCAATCTATTGTCTCGCTATTGCTTTTATTCTGAATGGCACAGGATGGAGTATAGCTCCGAGAGGAAAGTCACGTGGATCAGGTGACGGACTTTCAGAGCCATCTGGTGGACTGATCGTGAATTTCTGCATCAATGTAGCACAGAACAGGAATAGTCTGGTTCTTGCAAATTGTTCCCCGACACAACCACGTCGGCCAGCTCCAAATGAGATAGCTCTGAAATAAATAAACATTTTTTAATAAAAAATCCTCAGTAACAGATATCGTTTTTAAAGCGAGTGTATGGAAACGATCTTGTCCTGTGTTTTTTCATTTGCTTTATATCTATTCAATGCTTAAGTGTACTAAAAATCCCTTTCGGGTAAGTGTACAGCAAATAATGATACATAAAAACTAAAACTATACATAAAATTACAATAACATACAATGCAAATTTTACATGGCATAAATGACAATATAATGCGATTGACTGATCATTAGATATATACCAACCACTACTATTAGCCTACATGTATATATTTATATTGATAATATAGTTGATCTCTTTTCAATTATTTCATAAAGGTATTTTGCAAAGGTGATACACATGTTACCCTCAGCATTAAACATATAATAAGCCTTTTCTTCGGGAGCCAATACAGTTAGATTTGGGGAAATTGAGTTTAACGTATCAAAGTATTCATATCTCATTTTTTCCAATTTTTGGCATTCAAAAATAAAATGAGTTTCCGTACCAGTGTTGATTTTACATAATTTGCATTTTCTTTGATATCTCAGAATTATTGGTCTTTTATATAACTAGAGATCTAACGATCTAAGATTGCAAGCAATCTTACGAGGCCCTATATTCGTTTCTGAACATTCAAAGGCCAGCCAAAGGTCAAATCTCTAATACAAGGTCATATATGAGCTCCAGACAACTTGTAGATGATTTTTAAAAAGGGTTTGGTCGAATTAATGCAAGTTGAAATTTGACCTTGAAAAATTCCGAAATTTGACCTTTTTTCAGTTTTTGAGCTATAATATCTCAAAACTGGAGCCAAATTTTAATAGATAATCAATTGCTAATATGTGTAGAACCTTTAGTAGAGGAATATATATTCTGACTTCCATTTAAAAATATTGATTTGTAGTCTCCAATTTTGAGAAGCTTAGAAAACACAGTTTGTGATTTCGTTTGATGACCTTGACCTTTGACCTTGCAAATTTTACTTTTTTAGACCTCAGAAGGTCTTTTGTGAATAAATATACCTAAATTTGAATCCAGAAAATCGATTTGAAAAATCAACTTTTTTGACCTTTCGGAGGTCACTGAAGGTCAACCAAAGGTCAAAGGTCAAAAGTAAGGTTAGATTTGGAATCCTGAGAACTTGTAGATGAGTTTTAAAAATAAAATTGGTCAATTTGAAGCAAGTTGAAATTTAGTCTTGAAAAGTTTCAAAATTTGACCTTTTTTCAGTTTTTGAGTTCCAATATCTCAAAACCAGTACACAATTTTAATAAATAGTCAATAGCTAATATGTGTAGAACCTATAGAGGAATATATATCCTGACTTTCATGAAAAAATATTGATTTGAAACTTAGAAAACACAGTTTGGGATTTAGTTTGATGACCTTGACCTTTTTTAGACCTCAGTGGGTCCTTTGTGATCAAATATACCTAAATTTGAATCCAGAAAATCAATTTGAAAAAACAACTTTTTTTACCTTTCGAAGGTCACCGAAGGTCGGAGGTCAAAAGTAAGGACATATTTGAGTTCCTGAGATCTTGTAGATGATTTTAAAAAAAAATCTGGTTCATTTGAAGCAAGTTGAAAAATGACCGATTTTTGCCGATTTTTGACGTCAGATATCTCAACATCGGTAAAAAATTCGAAATTTGACATTTTTTCAGTTTTTGAGTTCTAATATCTCAAAACTGGAGCAACATTTTAATAAATTGTCAATTGCTAATATGTGTAGAACCTTTAGAGGAATACATATTCTGACTTTCAGCAAAAAATTGATTTGTAGTCTCCAATTTTGAGAAACTTAGAAAACACAGTTTGTGATTTCGTTTGATGACCTTGACCTTTGACCTTGCAAATTTTACTTTTTTGGATCTCAGGAGGTCTTTTGTGATGGATTACACCTAGATTTGAATCCAGAAAATCGATTTGAATAATCTACTTTTTTGACCTTCCGGAGGTCACTGAAGGTCAACCAGAGGTCAAAAATAAGGTCAGATTTGGAATCCTGGGAATTTGTAGATGAGTTTTAAAAAACAAATTGGTCAATTTGAAGCAAGTTGAAAAAAGACCTTTTTGACCTTTTTTTGACCTTCAATATCTCAAATTCTAGGCAAAATTTTTCTAGACGGCAAAAATTAAGACTGATAAAATACTAATCTCTATCTGTATGCAAAAATTCAGCCAAAAATATTGAAGTGTAGTGTCAGGATTTGAGAAACTTGAAAAAACTTAGATTTGACCTAGATTCTGACCTTTGACCTTGACCTAGATATGAACTAATTTCCCGACAAGTCCAGCCCAGGTCCCTAATAGGACTATATATGAAATAAGTCAAAGCTAGCTGGAAATTGGAGAAAAAATGCTAAAAAGAATAATAAATAAATAAATAAAGAAGAATAACTACAAAAATGATAGGAGGCCCCTTGAAGGGCCTCCTAATAATAGGATTTTATTAGTACTGATGCCCTTTAAGGGCCAAACGTACATCCAATATACAATTTTCAATAACAGTAAATATAGGCAATAAAGTAAAGAAAATAGGATCACAGTCTTTAAATGTGTTTTGAAGACTTTCATTGACAATTGTATATCTTCCTCGCTCTATTTCTGTTTTGTGTGCACTTATTCTTAATCGCGTCACAGACTTCCTATGTTCAGCGTTCTTTATTAAATCCAAATATGGTTCTTTTCCCCATCGTTGTTTGATATTATTCAAAAATTCTAATTTCCCTTTATTATCATTGACAGTTTTCTCCCAATATTTGATATATCGTTTTCAAGGATTTTCTTAATATCAAGCGGTTTGCTATTCATGTAATTTGTATCTTGTGGTTGAACATATGCCATTATTCTATCAATGTCATAGTGCCATGATGGTTGATTATGAACTTTTGATAGTTCAATGTTTTATGAGGAGCTTGTGGCAGGGTCTATAATAAATTATCCGGAAAGGAGCATGTAAGATATGGCAAGCCATTTTCAAAGGGCTATATCTTTAATTCTAAGAATACTTTAACCACAAAAACAAATGGTTCTGTTAGATCCATGTCTTGTCTTCAATAAATGACAGTAGGATAATAATCAAGTTGAATGGATTATCTCTTAAGCTGTTCCTAATCCAACCATCTTCACCAATTTTCCCGGATTAATTCGGACGCAATTTTCACCAAAAATGCAGCATTTTATTTCAGCTTTTATGGCAAAATTACAATTTATTGTAAAGAGTGATCTACCTCTAAAAAGGAAAACTTGATTACTTTGGGATTAGGATAATCCAAAAACAATAACTTTTTTTAGGCCGAATTTTTTACCTAAAAGTAGCAATTTTTTAATGAGATTAATGCACGAAAACATTGAGCTATGTCACATGATTGATTTCCAAAAAGAAAAAAAATGATCTAAATGAGATAAGCATTATCTGATAATCCATTTGCCATTTTTACCTCATAGGCCATGACCTTAGTGTGAAGTGTATGAAAAGATGTCACTTAGAGCGACATTTAGATGTACCCTATTTTATGCAATGATGTTTATAGATAGAGTTATATATGTTCCATAGATGGCATGATATATTCTACATGGGTGAGTGCTAGATACTCTGTGTATTCATTGTTGCATAATTGCGTATTATAGAAATGAGCATGGATATGTCAACATGACTGGGTCGTGTAAAGTATGTACAGTAAAACATAAATATGTTTAACACCTAGTAAAACACATAAGAGGAAATACTTGTTTATATATTTGAATTGTATAGTGTAAATGAATATTTGAAATATTACACATTTGCGATGTTTCAACAAACATGATTCAATACCATCTTATTTGAATTCACTCTTCCCATGTGTATCTTTCTTTATCATCAATCATATTGGGGGTTTCGAAAGTGCCTTATGTAAAGGAGTTTGCTGTAAATGATCTTTCGAATAGTGTTATATGTAGTAGGTATTGATACAGGTACCACTGTATACAGAGTACATGCAAATAATAATTTTCTCCAATGGTTTGGCCAAACATTTGTTGCATTTTTTGTTCATTTCAAAGGACCTTATACACCCTCCATTGGGATCTCCCCATGGGAAAAAAATAATTCATCTGATTTTTCAAAATGAGTATTCTGCTTCAATTATTACATTTATATGCACACTAGTATCTTGTTGACCTATAGTCAGCACTGTATTGATGTATAGGCCACTTATTAGGGTCATAATTCAATCATGAAGTGTAGAGGCATAGATTCCAAACCAGGAAGTATTTTTGTGTCTGTCAAAATCCATTTACATCCTACGCATCCCTGCATCTTATCCAAATATGTTACTACATAATGAAATATAATAGTATAATCTTTGGTTTTACAAACTTGTATGATATTTGATAAGTGTAAAAGTTGTTTTTGGAGCATTTTTCTATAGCCATTTTGTATGGGAAAAAATGATGAAAAAATGTACAATCTTTTAATTTTAAGTATGACCTGAATCGATTGCAAACTTCATATTTGCACATTTGATGAGAAAAACCATTTGTGTCGTATTGTGAAAATATTAATTGTATTTTTGGTATTTCTGTGATAATCAATGGAAACCAATGGCCTCTATTTGGATCTGCTGATATCCTCATGTTAAGTCAATGGTGCACAGCCCCATGTAAGTCAATACAACCTTACTGAACGAAATGATCCCTATCTCAGCTTATGTGTGTCCGAGCGCTTTAATATTTTCCAAAGTATTATATGACATTTTACTCTTCATGTTACACCTACGAATGATTCATTTTGACCATAAGGATATTTGCCAATAATTGCACATTGTCCTTTTATTGGATTGTTTTTGCTATTTGGAATTTTTATGGAATAAACAGTTTAATGCGTTGGGTTTTACCCTTTGACAATATGTATATGGCCTAGTGTAATTATGGCCTTGTGTAATTATGATATTGTCACGTATTCGATCACTCTATATTCTCAGTCAATACTTCGGGCTCTGTAT